ACCATCCTGCCAGGCTCAGGGAGTTTAGCCCAATGATGACTGATCAGATGATGAGAAGGGGGAGGGTAGGCCCATGAGAAGGCTGGCAGGCCTTCCTGCAGATGATACTTTTTTCACAAAAAGAATGAGAAGCCACAGGGAGGGCTCTTTTCTTTTTTCCGGTTCACTTTTCGGGGTTTCCATTGCAGCAGCAGGACCAGAGCTTTGCAGGGCTTGAGAAGTGCCTGCTCAGTTGCAAGTTCAGCTGGAGAGGCCTGTGGAGAAGCATGGGAAGGTAGCAGTAGAGATCTCCCCAAAGTAACAGCAGAAAATAGAAACTGTCAACAAATTCAAAAAGTCTCTCTACTAGTGCAAAAACCGTGAAAAAGTATCATATCCTGGTTTATTTGGTTGTTTGTTTTTTGGTTGTTTTGTATTTATTGTTGGTAGATTTATTTTGTTTTTGTTTGTTCATTTGTTGTTGTTGTTTTTTTTTTTTAAACAGGGTTTCTCTGTGTAGCCCTGGTTGTCCTGGAACTTGCTCTGTAGACCAGGTTGGCTTTGACCACACAGAGCTCCACCTGCCTCTGTCTCCTGAGTGCTGGGATTAAAGGTGTGCGCCGCCACCACCCAGAAACCATATCCTTTTTTAACTGTGTACTTCTGATGCTTTGACACTGAGACGTTTAACCAGGCCCCGTGGATCCTTAAGAGTAGCTAGGGGCTGAGTGTTGGTAAGATCTGTAGACAGTGTTGGTTCTGGGATAGTCTTCTATTGTGAGGTCCCTTTCCAGCTTTCCTTTTCAAATGATGGAAGCTGTCAGAGTTTAGCTCTTGTGACTGTGCAGCATTTGACAGACAGCTGTCAAACCCTTCCTTCCCTGGGCCTGATTGCCTTGCACAGGGAGCAATCAATCAGCCCGCTGCTTCTGTGGAAACCAGCCACATTGTCATCATGGGAGTTAAGTTGCTCTGAATAATTTCCAGATGTCCCAAGGAACTTCCAATCCAGCTGTGAACACCATTGCAACCATAGCTGTTTCTGCTGAAGCCACTTCTGCTTCTAGGGGCTCTGCTCCCGTCATAGCCAATGTACACAGCTTGTACCAAATATACAAAACGTCACTTCGCTCAAGAGAAATAGTGATGACCTCCAGACAGATGATCACAGAGGAGCGTGTCGCAACTGACCCACTTACTTAGGTAAGGAGAAGCACTTCCTCCAGGAACTCAATGAAAATCTGATTGACAGGAAGAAAGGCTGCCCACATATGGGATGTATATGGGAGGCTCGTGACTCTGTGAACATGCAAGCCTTGTAGACCTAGAAGCCACACACACGCGCAAGGTTGTGATGCTGTGCACAACCATGTCATACTTTCTTCATTGTATAAGCTTCTTCCGGCTGCTCTGGGAGACTTCCCTCCTGTGTACCGCCCCTGGGTATTTATCCATGCATTAAAAAACTTCTGCTCAGTGCTCCTTTTCCCCCTTTCTGTTATTGCTTCTTTGGAGGGAGGAACAGAGGTCAGAAGACTGCTTTCAGGAGTCATTTCTCACCTAGCAGTTTGGGGGGCAGTGAAAGACCTGGATAAATCCAGAGACCCCTCTAGCAGGAAGAGAAGAGCCAAAAATCTAGGATTAGCCGGTTCAGTGACTTGTTTCAGGAACTAGCTGAAGATAAAGTTAGATTGTAATCTTGAAAATAATCTTGAGAAACAGGGAACTCCCTTGTGCCCCCTTGTGATCATCACTGGTATTTTCGGAATTTTCTATGCCGCCCTCCCTGCCCCCTTCGGGTTACTGGGTTGCGGTTTCTTCCCTTAAATACCCTTTCTCCCAGCTACTCAGGGTCGAACTCCTCCCCTGTGTGGGTTATGAGTTTTGGCCCCAGTGCACTGGTACCTGTCAATAAACCTTGTGCGTTGCAGCCGGGCGGTGGTGGGACACGCCTTTAATCCCAGCACTCGGGAGGCAGAGGCAGGCGGATCTCTGTGAGTTTGAGACCAGCCTGGTCTACAAGAGCTAGTTCCAGGACAGGCTCCAAAACCACAGAGAAACCCTGTCTCGAAAAACAAAACAAACAAGCAAACAAACAAACAAAAACAAAAAACAAAAAAAAAAAACCTTGTGTGTTGCAGCAAGAACGGTCTCTCACGAGTTACTGGGGGGGGGGGGGTCGTATTACCCCGAGACTTGAGTGACAGTCTCCCTACACCGGGGGTTTTTTCAGAAGGATCTCTCTGCTTCAAATTGCGACTTTCACATCCCACTTTCTGTGTGTGTTCCAGAGATCAGGCTCAAATTGTCAGGCCTACTAGGTGTGTCCATCAGGATTCTCCAGAGGAGTAGACCAACATAGTGAATATATGGTGTAATAGTTCAAATGTAAGGTGCCCCCATAATCTCATAGGGAGTGGCACTATTAGGAGGTGTGGCTTTGTTAGAGAAACTGTGCCACTGAGGAGGAGGAGGAGGAGGAGGAGGAGGAGGAGGAGGAGGAGGAGGAGGAGGAGGAGGAGGAGGGAGAGCAGAGGGAGGAGAAATGGGGAGCAGGGGGAGGAGGAGCAGCAGCAGCTGGACATCAGGCTACACACTTTAATTCCATCATTGGAGAGACAGAAGCAGTAAGATCTGAGTTCCAGGCCAGTCTGATCTACACACACACACACACTCACACAATAATTGTGAAAGTTTTTTTTAAGAAAAACAGAACACCATTTTCCAAAAATAAAAAAATATATATCCTGAGTTTATTCTACTTGACATTAGTACCGTGAATGACAGTAAAATTCAAACAGAACAGCCTTTCTTGATCATCCCCTACAATGGCTTCTGCAATGCACTTGTATCGGCCCTAGAATAAGGAATAATAAAGACAAACAATACAAAATGTTAGGTGCTGTGATTCACAGACTCTGTAAGAACATTCTTCTTTTCTTTCTTTTTGTTTTGTTTTGAGACAGGCTTTCATTATGTAGCCCTAACTAGTCTGGAACTCACTACGTAGACCACCCTGGTCTCAAACTCACAGAGATCCATCTGTTAAGGTTAAAGACATGAGCCTGGCAAGCACTTTGTTCTTATTGGTATAGAACATTGAAATTGAATTTTTTTTTTTTTTGTGGTGAGTGGAATCAAACCCAGGGCTTTATGCCTGCCTCTCGATACTCTAGCACAGAGCTAATTCCCAAGCCCAATTTCACTCTCTTAGTTTCCCAATAAGATAGAAGCCTGCATGAACGCCTTCTAAAATTGTGCCTGTGTGCATGCATTTGTGGGGGGGGGGGGGCAGGCAGCTGAGCACACCAGATCATTCAGATAAAAACCTGAATACATGCCTTTTAAATTGTGCATGTGTGCGTGCATTTGTGTAAGTGTGCGCATGCATTCATGGGGGAAGGGGCAGCTAAGCATGCGGCATCATTCAGGTGGTGGTCAGGGGACAATTAATGGGAGTCAGATCTCTCCTGTCATGTGAGTCTCAGCAAGAGAATTCCATTCATCTTGGAAGTAAGCACCTTTATCCACAGCCATCTTACTGGTCTCTGCATAAGTTTTAATTGTTTCTCAATTAGAAAGTGAGGATGTCTTTTTAAATAGTCCACAAGACTATTCCAGAGAATGGCTCAGAGGGGAGTGGCCCTTGCTGTACACTCTGTAAGCTCCAGAGTTCAAATCCCCAGAACTGACATAAAAAAAAATAACAAAATACCTAAAACCAAAACTCTTGACTGTGGTCACGCTACCCTGAACACACCCAATCTCAATTGAATAACTATTCTTTTTGTTTGGCTGGTTTTTGGTTTTGTTTGGTTTGGTGTTTGCTTGTTTGTTTGTTTGTTTGTTTGTTTGTTTGTTTTTGAGACAGGGTTTCTTTGTAGCTTTGGAGTCTGTCCTGGAACTAGCTCTGGTAGACCAGGCTGGACTCGAACTCACATCCACTTTGCCTCTGCCTCCCAAGAACTGGGATTAAAGTCATGTGCCACTACTGCCTAGAGAATAACTATTCTTAAAAGTGGTGAATTGCTTTTTTCAATTCTTAACATATGTTGTTTGAATAAGAATGGCCCCCATAGACAGACTTAGTTGACTCCCCAGGAGAGGTCTTACCCTCTCTGAAGAGCAGATGGGATGTGGGGTGTAGGAGAAGTGGGGGAGCGGGAGGAGAGGAGGGAGGGGGGATTGGTATGTAGATAAATAAATTTTTACCTTAAAAAATATGGCCCCCATAGACTCATAGATTTGAATGCTTGATCACCAATGAGTGGCACTATTAGAAGGTGTGGCCTTGTTGGGGTAGGTGTGGCTTTGTTAGAGAAAGTGTGTCCCTGGGGGTAGGCTTTGCACAGTTCAGAAGCTCAAATGAGGTCCAGTGTCTCTCTTCCTGCTTCCTGCCAATCTAGATACAGAACTCTGGGCTCCTTCTCCAAGCACCATATCTTCCTGAGTGCCACCATGCTTCCCACCATGACAATAGTAGACTAAACCTCTGAACTGAAAGCCATCCCCAATTCAATGTTTTCCTTTATAAGTGTTTCCATGGTCATGGAGACTCACAGCAATCCTGACTGATGTGGGAAGTCCTTCTGTGTATGTGTTTTTTTATTGGTTAATGAATAAAGCAGTTTTGGCCAAAAGTCTAGCCAAGTAAAATTAGGCAGGAAATTCGAACAGAGATAATCAGTCAAAGAGATGCCAGTAGCAAAAGAAGGACATGCTGGAACTTTACAAGTAGGCAATAGCCTGTGGTAATACACGGGTTAGTAGAAATGGGTTAATTCAAGATGTAAGAACTAGTTAAAAATATGCCTAAGTCATTGGCCAAGCAGTATTGTAATTAATATAGTTTCTGTGTGATTATTTGGGTCTGGGCAGCCAGGAAATGAAGGAGCAGCCTCCGTTTACAAGTGAAGAAAGAGCAAAATATTTCTTGAACAATACCTTAGGAAGTGTTATTCCCCTGAAGGAAAATGGCACTCTTGTATTCACAGTCTCTGAAAACAAAACATAAACATTATTAGTCATCTTGGGTGATTTTTTAAAAATATGAAGTGTAGTTTAATGGAGTGTCCTTACTAATAACAGAAGCATTTCTAAGGAAAAATGTAGAGAAATGACTCCTACACCCTACCTACTCCATCCACAGTGCTCCACCCTGACACTCAAGTACATGAGAGTCCTTCCCAAAACCAGCCCATGTCTCATCTCCTAGGGCATCTGAAGTTTTGCCATCTATCAGTCTCAGTGAATTGATTAATCTACACATCAAGCTAGATTATGTACATACAAACTTAACTTTTAGATGCCCCTCTAGTTGGATAGAACAGATAAGAATCTCCCTAAACACAAGAGAGATGTTTCTTTTGACAACACAGAATTGACCCTAGGGCCTCATGCACGCTGGGCACAATATCATCTTAGCTATATCCTCCCTGAAACAGTCAAACACAGCCAGAATCCTTACACCCCTTCCAGTCACACCACCAAGAAGCATAAGGCTTCAGCCTATGTTTAAATAAGCAGCCATGAGACTGTCCCTTTCTGTATAAGCCACAGAGCATAAAGGTAGACCAGCAGAAAAAGCCAAACAGCTTGAGGTAGAGGTAAAGTCAGAAAGATGGAAATGTTTTGAATGTCAAACAAAAGAAATACTGGTCTTTAAAAAGCAAAACTGTGTGTGTATGTGTGCGTGTGTATGTGTGTGCGCACAAGCACTGCATGTGCACAGCATGGCACAGAAGTGGGGGACAACTTGTAGCAGTCACCATGTGGGTTCCAGCAGTGGAACTCAAGCCCGCATGGTTCTGCACAGCGGCAAGCATCCTCACCTACTGGACCATCTCACCAGCTTAGCTGTCTAACTACGTACCAAGGGAGTCCACGAGACAACATCTGAGTCCCTGGATCAGAAGGATGGGTGCTTGGAACAGATCCTGGGTCCTCAGTGCACTGAGCCATCTTTGGTCCCTTAATTTCAAATTTTCATAACAGTTCAAAGAGTATTAACTGAAAGCCCACTTTGTGTCAGGGAATAACGAGACAATGGTGGTTAGCCCATAATTGTCTCTTCCTGAAAACAAGTTAATTTATTCAGAACATAAATATGTAAAAAAAAAAAAACAAACATACAATGCACAATGGGAGCTGGGTGTGGTTGTTCACTCCTTTGCACTCAGTACCAGGGAGCAGAGGTAGGGGAATCTCTGCAAGTTTGAGGCCAGCTTGGTCTACTTATTGATCTCCAGGCTAGCCAGGGCTACATAGAAAGAGTCTGCCTCAAAAAAAGAAAAAGGAAAACAAAGCAGTGAGAAAGAAACAGTGATGAAGGTGTGTGAGGTGGTGGCCAGGGATCCATGGAGAGACCCTGTCTCAAAACAAAACAAAAGTCTTCAGCTTTGTTTTTAAAGTTATAAGGCTAGATCCTAACACAGGCAGATTAAACTGACTGGTGTAATGTTGATTTAAGACAGCACAAGACACGGATTGGTTTGAAAAGCAGCTTGGGTTAGAACAAACAAAAACTGTAAATATGTTCAAATATTTAACCCAGAAATCTCTGGAAGGCATCCATAACTCTCCTAAGAATGGGGATATTCAAGCCTAAAATGTACAAAAGACTATACATAGAAACATATTCATTACATTGTTGTTAGGGTTTGAGTATCGAATGTCCCTACACAGGCTTGTGTGTCTGAACACTTGGTTCCCAGCTGCTGATGGTGCTTTGGGAAGTGGTGAGCACTGGGGCCTAGCTGGAGGATCTCTTGGGTATAGGCTTCAAGGTTTACATCCATACCCTCTTCCTGTCTGATCGCTGCTTCCTGCCCTGCCTATATGTGAACAAGCATTTGTTGGCACTCTGACTGCCATTCTTCCTCAGCATGAAGACTATGTCCTCAGATCATGAAACCCAATAAACCCCTCTTCTCTTTCTCTCTTTCTCTTTCTCTCTGTCTCTCTCTCTGTCTCTGTCTCTCTCTCTGTCTCTCTCTCTCTCTGGATTTTTTTAATCTTTTTTCAATTTCATCTTACATTGCGACCACAGTTAGCCCTTCTGCCCCTGCTCCCACTCTCCCTAACCTCCCATCTGAGATTTATTTATTTATCATGTATACAGTGTTCTGCCTGCATGTATGCTGCAGGCCAGAAGAGGGCACCAGATCTTGTTATAGTGGTTATGAGCCACCATGTGGTTGCTGGGAATAGAACTCAGGACCTCTGGAAGAACAGCCAGTGCTTTTAACCTCTGAGCCATCTTTCCAGTCCCCCTCTTCCAATTTTTAAAGACAGGATTTCTCTGTTTAACAGCCCTGGTTGTCCTGGAACTGGCTCTGTAGCCCAGGCTGGCCTCATACTCACAGAGATCCACCTGCCTCTGCCTCAGGACTGCTGGGATTAAAGGTCTGTGCCACCACTGTCTGACTTTCTCTCTTTCCTTTTTCTTAATAAATAATTTATTTTATGTGCATGAATGTCTTGCCTGCATGTATACACATGTACCACATGTTTGAATAGTGTCCAAGGAGGTCAGAAGAGGGTGTCCAGTCCCCTGGAACTGGTATTGCTGACAGACGTGAGCTGCCTTGTGGGTTCCAAGAATCAAACCTGGGTCTTCTGGAAGAGCATCAGGGGCTCTTAACCACCCAGCAGTCACTCCAGCCCCAATCTTTCTTCTCTTACATTGCTTTTCGTCAGGATCTGATCTCAACAATAAGAAAAGTAGCCAATTCAGTTCTTTATAATAGGGAAAGCAGCAGAAGGAAGTTAAACGTTAAGTAAAAAGAAAGATATCCACTGTCTTAGCCTGGTTTCTGTTCCAGTGAAAAACACCATGACTGTGGGGAGCCATGAAGCCTCATCTTGGATCAGCATATGAACGTCTGTCCCATGGGTCCCCGGGCAATGCCATGGAAGACAATCTCTCACTTGGCAAAAACCAGTGGACCACAGAGCAGCGCGGGATTTTGATGAATTCATGCAGCTTGCAGGCTCTTTTCTCTCTGGTTATTGTTGATTCTTTGGGAAGGTTTTAGTTTTATTTTGTCAGTCACAGACACAACAGCTGTAATTTTCTCTGGAAATTCTGTTCATTTCCCCTAAAAGTCAGAAGGGGATTAATGCTTCTCAAATCTCTTATCTGGAATTACTAACTACAACTCCTAATCCTGGGAAGTTTTCTGACTCAACAGAAACAGTTAGCTACATCTGGGAAAACAATGCTTGGAACATTAACCATGTCTCACAGGTCTGGCAGGGAGAGAGAGGCAAGCATCCACAGAGCAGGGGAAGGCCTCAGGAATACACATAGTGCCAGCTGCGGAGAGTTAGTTCACTGGACACCAACTATAGAAGCATTGGTAGGATCTGGTATGCTCCAGGAGGAATAAGTACAATATAAAATGTGGGATGGACATATCCACCTTTGCCATACACAGGAGCTTACGGTGGTGGAAGAAGTGTGGTGTGGTGGGGTGGAAAAGAGTGCCTTAGCAAAGTCTGCCTTTTGCAGACAGATGGAGACTGGGGCCCTCTTGCAGAAAAGGGAATGATATAAAAGCTTATCTTACAGACATGAAAGAATTGTTTTGGTTTAAATACTGTTGTCCTTTAAGCATTGTACCCATGTCTATTACTTTTTAACTTTGTAGCCACAAGTAGCTGCAGTTGATGAACCTGCTACAAGAGCAGGATTTTCTGTCCCTGTTTACTTAAGCCTGCAAAATGCTCAACTCTGTCTAGAAGAAGGTTATGTAGAGGTGGGAAAGCATATCTGGGGACAATGGAGGCTTTCTATAATGATTACAATGTATTTCTTAAAATATGACATAGTTTTTTTTTTGTTTTTTTGTTTGTTTGTTTGTTTTTGAGACAGGATTTCTCTGTAGCTTTGGAGCCTGTCCTGGAACTAGCTCTTGTCGACCAGGCTGGCCTGAAACTCACAAAGATCCACCTCCCTCTGCCTCCCAAGTGCTGGGATTAAAGGTGTGCACCACCACCGCCCACCGCCCAGCATGACATAGTTCTTAAAAGTCAAAAATAATAAAGCTGTTCAGGCAAGCCTGGTAAGAAAAAAAAACTCTGTTGAAGTATAAATAAAAACATCTTAAGCTATTTCGGACCACTTGAGTGCGCTCCACCGGGTGGTTAGAATCTTTCTTTGTACCAACGCCCCTTCCTCATCTCAGAACCTGAACCCGAGCCAAGGCTAGACCCTGGGCACATGACCAAAACCAGTTTGAAGTGGAAATGGTGTATTTAGTTTACAAATTACAGAAGCCAAGACAGGAACTCAAGATAGGGACCTGGAGACAGGAACTGAGGCAGAGACCACTGACGAATGCTATTTACTACTCGATCCCAACTATGCTTATACCACCCAAAACTGCATGCCTAGAAGTGACACCAGCCACAGTGGGCTGGGCTGTGTCTTCCCACATCAACCATTAGTCAAGACAATGTCCCATGGACAAGCTCACAGGCCAATCTAATGGAGGCTGTTATTCAGTTGAGGTTCACTCTTCCATGGTGATTCTAGTTTATGTTAAAAAACAAGTCAGAACACCCACTAAGTGAGACATCCCTCTCTAATATGTATGTCCTGATTTGTTAAACAAGTGAAGTAACTATTCAAAGAGTAAACTCAATTTCTTAAAAGAAAATTAAAACTTGCAACATAATATAGCAACTACATAAGCAATGTTCATTCATTTTTAAACATAAGAACTCACACTAATCTAAAAAAAGTCCCCTTGCAACGAATGGTGACAATTACAGAAAACCACAACGATCAGGTCTATGGTGTTGCACATCTTTAATTCCAGCACTTAGAAGGCAGAGGAATGTCGATCTTCAAGTTAGAGGCTAGCCTGGTCTATAGCGTGAGTTCCAGGACAGCCACGGCTACACAAAGAAACTCAGAAAACAAGGGAAGGAAGGAAGGAAGGAAGGATGGAGGGAGGAAGGGGAGGAGGGAGAGAGGAAGGAAGGAAGGAGGGACAGAGGGAGGGAGGGAAGGAGGGATGGAGGGAGGGAGGGAGGGAAGGAAGGAAGGAAGGAAGGAAGGAAGGAAGGAAGGAAGGAAGGAAGGAAGGGGGAGAGAGAGAGAGAGAGAGAGAGAGAGAGAGAGAGAGAGAGAGAGAGAGAGAGAAAGAAAGAAAGAAAGGGAAGGGAAAACCATAACAGATCAAAATGCAGGGAACAAATAGCAAAGTGGTATACAGTCCTGTCTGTTGATACATTGACCACACAATCCCTGTACCTGGGCTCAGGAAGCACAGTGGAAGTGGGAGCAGAAAGACTGTAAAGGCCAGAGGGAAAGAAATTCATTGTGAAAGCGCATAACAGGAATGTCAGAGAAGTTATGTCCATTAAGTCTGACCAATATGACTGCCTAAAGATGACCAGAAAAGAGACAATACAAAGAGATAGAGTTTGTGAGACCTTGTAGTGGTTTGAAAGAAAATGGTCCCCAAAGGGAGTGGGACCATTAGGAGGTATGGCCTTGTTGGAGTAGGTGTGGTCTTGCTGAGGAAGTGGGTGTCTCATATATGCTCAAGATACTGTCCAGTGTCTCAGATCACTTCCTGTAGCCTGCTATGTGTAGGACTCTCAGCTCCTTCTCCAGCACCATGTCTGCCTCCATGCCACCATGTCCCTCCGTGATGATAATGAACTGAACCTCTGAAACTGTAAGCAAGGCACCCCAATTAAATGTTTTCCTTTATAAATGACTTGCTGTGGCCATGGTGTCTCTTCACAGCAATAGAAATCCTAACTAAGACAAACCTTAACCTTAAACGAAGAATTTCAGACAACTAAGGGTTGTGATGTTTTGTTTGTGTTCTGACAAATAGAGCTTGCATGGAGATCAGAGGGCAGATCTAGCCACTAGCTAGCCATAGAGGTCTGGAGATCCATACAGAGAGGAGACAAGAAGTGAGAACGCGGCACCGAGAGAGGACGTGATAAGGCGGGGCATAGACAGGATCTCGGCCCCTCTTTGTCTCAGGATTCAGAGGAAGTAAGAAGTCTCTGGTAGCTTCTGCTCTGCTTCTCTGATCTTTCGGCTTTTACCCCCATATCTGACTCTGGATTTTTATTGATTAAGACTATTAGGATCATTCTTCAACTAAGGAACACTGAGTGGGAAAAACAGACATCCAAGGGAAGAGCCCCCAATTGGTGGTCCAGAATCAAGCGGTCATCCCTGAAATCATATACACACAAGTAACATTACACAGACTGAGCAGGTTGTATCCATATATTTAGGAAAATATGCATGTGTGTGCATGCACGCATGTGTGTATATGTGTGTGCGTGTGCGCACATGTGTGTGTGCATGTGTGTGTGTATGTGCATGTGTGTGTGTGTGTGTGTACAATAACAAAAAAAAAGTAGAAGCCATGAGTCTGAGGGAGAATGGGATAGGGAGATACCTAGGAAAGGTTGGGGTGAAACAAAGGAAAGGGGAAGCAGAATAATTTTAATTTAAAATTTAAAAGAAGTTTTAAAGGCAAAGCAGCTCCCCATGAGCCTAAAAGCAGGCCACTGAGCAGCTTCCCCTGTTTTTCTCAGCTTTGTCTCTGACCCATCGTCCTACCGTGAGTTCCTGTCCTACCTGCTCCCATGTCAGACTAGAAGCTGGAAGCCCGAGGTGTTTTTGGTTGGTGTTTTAACAGAGAGCAACTCGGACAACCACCCCACTAAAATAAGGACAAGAGTGCTGAAAAGCTCTAGGATGGTTGTGTTGAGGGATGCCGGATTGACACCTCATAAGGCAGTCCTCCACAATTATGAAATATTCCACCCGCATTCAAGCATTTTAGCTCTTAAGCCATATAAAAGTCATAGACATACAGTAAGGATAAATGTGGAATACAGCCTAAAAACAAATAAATAAAAATATACAATTGAAAAACTAAAAAGAACCAGGCAGTGGTTGTGTATACCTTTACTCCCACAGCTCAGGAGGAAGAGACAGGTGGATCTCTGTGAGGTGGAGGCCAGCCTGGTCTACAGAGTAAATTTCAGGACAGCTAGGGCTAAACAGAGATACCCTAGAAAAAACAAAACTAAACAAACAAATCACACACACAAGAAAAGAAATTCTAAAGTGCTTTTTAGAAATAAGATTTTATCACTATTTTATTGTATTATTTCCAATTATGCTAATATAAAAGTATGATATTTATATATTGAAACTATTTTAAGTACTTAAAACTATTAAGGGGAAAAAGCATGAGTTTTGATTAAGTGACTTTTACATTTCCAAATTCTGAATTTTACTATTCTGTTAACAGACCAAAAGCTGAGAAGACTAAGTAAATAAATCAGGGGTAGATCACTTGCTTGCCTCACATGTATAAGATCCTGGTTTCACTGAGACAATGGGGATGTTCTATCAGGAATTCACCAAGGCCAGCTGATGTGGGAGTGTCATATATCAATCTGTTGATTTCATTGGTTAAGCAATAAAGAAACTCCTTGGCCCTGATATGTTAAAACATAGGTGGGAGGAGTAAACAGAATAGGATGCTGGGAGGAAGAGGAAGTGAGCTCAGACTCCACAGCTCTGCTCTCTGGAGCAGAGATGCCAGGCTCTGCTCTCCCAGGCAACTCCAACACAGGATGGACGTAGGCTAGAATCTTCCTGGTAAGCGCACCTTAGGGTGCTTACACACATTATTAGAAATGGGCTAAATTAATATGTGAGAATTAGCCTAGAAGAGGCTAGATAGAAATGGGCCAAGCAGTCTTTAAATGAATACAGTTTGTGTGTTGTTATTT